GAAGGGAAGGGAAGGGAAGGGAAGGGAAGGGAAGGGAAGGGAAGGGAAGGGAAGGGAAGGGAAGGGAAGGGCTCTCCTCTGCATGGGGCTTTGCTCTGTGGACAGCCTATGGACAGCTGTTGTGAAGGTCGGGAAGTGCTGGTCCCCTATGAGACAACCAAAGTGTGCTAGAGGTGTGGAAACCACTGGAGATGGGTCTCGCAATGGGCTTATGGTTGCTTATATGTAGAGCAAAGACGACTAGAGTAGGGAACATGGAGAGCTTTTTCTTGAAAGTGCTAGGTGGTGGCAAGCGTATCGTTCCCACCACCAAGGTACTTTCTTCAGCACGTAGCCTTTCTTTTACTGCCTTCTCTTTCCTAGGGGAGAACAGTGGCTGGACTAGAAAGTCAATGCAATGTTTGCTCCCCTCATTGGCCACCAGGCTTCTGCCATGGCTGTGCAAGCAGCACCAAAGGAGCAGGTGAGTTTTCAGTGTTTGTGTACTAATTCTTAAGGCAGAGAAGACTTCCTTTGTCCTTCAAATAGTAGATGTGTGTTTGAAGACCAGAGTGCTAATGACAAGCCAGACTTTGAAAAGGGCAGTTGTGCAGGGTGAGCTGCTCTTTTTGGGTAGCAGAAAAAGGTTTGGCCTTTCTGCAGCTGATACCAGATGGAGTGAGAAGATCAGGGCACTGGCACACTTACAAGCCTGTGGCTCAGACGTTGAGGGCGGGCTTTTTTTGCCTTGATGATCTTTGAATTTCTCTCACGGTGAGGATCCCAGTAGGCACAGTAGTAAGTAGCAGCGTCGTCTGGAATTACATCTTTTATTGTAAGAACATAGCGGTTCTGGGCAGAAACCTTTTCGACCATGTACCTGTTTGCTTGAAAGCCGCTTTCAACCGAAGCTTTCCCTTCTGAAAAGAACAGGAGCCTCTCTGGAGCTTTACCTTCCTTCTGTTGATACCAGTGTATTACGGTGCCACCAAATGTTTCCTCTAATGTTTGAATTTCACATGTCATCCGTGCACTTTTTTGGAACTTGGTAATGGATATAGGGCTCTGCACAGGAATTTCTTGTGCAAACCCATCTAGGAAAAAAGAACAGGAGAAATGGTGTCATTATGTGGAATTCCGGGATTTGGGCAGACGCCTGTTAGCACAGCCTGTGAGCTGAGGGAGTATTTGTCTCGGTGATCTCTGAGTTCCTGCCACAGTGAGTATCCCAGTAGGCGCAATAGTAGGTAGCAGTGTCGTCTGGAGTTATATCATTTATTGTGAGAATAAACAGTTTCTGCCTAGAATCCTTTTCCATCCTATACCTGTTTGCTCGGAAGCCGTCATCTGCTACTATTGACTCTGAGAAGTAGAGCATCCTCACCGGAGCTTTATTCACCTTCTGTTGATACCAGTGTATGACAATGCTAGCAAAGTTTCCAGAGACGTCTTTAAAGTGACATCGCAGGCGAACACTTCCTTTAGGCTTGGTGACTGAGAGAGGGCTCTGCATGGGAATATTTTGTGCAAATCCACCTAGGGAAAAAAAACAGAGAAATGCTGTGATTAGCTGGAATTCCGGGATTGGGGAGGACGCCTGTTAGCACAGGCATGGGTGCCTGTGAGGAAATGTAGGAAAAGAAGGAAGGACTTACAAGACCAAGCGGCTGTGGCCACAAGCGCTGCCAGCAGCAGCATGTTTGCTTGTGATGCTCCGCTGTCGTTGAGAGTCAGAGGAGGTGCAAGGGACCCCAGATGAGGACAGTGTTGCGTGGAGGAGGAGGTGACTGTCTTGAGCGGTCTTCAGCGATGGGTCTTCTGTGCGCAAGCAGATGGGGCTACATTTGAGCAAACCCGCTCCAGGCTGGCAGATGCTAAAATTGGTTAGAAGGTTGTAGTCCAGTCTGCTTTTCAGGTAAACAGGAGAAACATTGGTAAATGCTAGGCTCGCGGTCCTTGAGAACTGGAGGCAGAGCAACTGAGGAAGGGTTGCAAGCGAGAGCAGCTCCAGCTGTGGATCGCAGCGTGAAGGTTTCAGCCTGCAGGTCACCCCGGTGGGCGGTGAGTGTGTGTTGACACTCAGCGAGACATGAGGAGGCACACAGTGCCCGAGCGGGCGGGAGGCATTCCCCCATCCTGTTCCGGAGCTCCTTGTGCTGCTTCAGCTTAGTCACCCAGCTGCGGCACACCAAAGTGCCCGGGGTGCCCCTGTGCTGGTGCTGCCCTCCAGTGAAGGAGTTGGGGCCCATCAGCCTGCAGCGACCCAGGCAGCTGCACCGCAGGGACTTGCCCCCGCTTTGGTTTTGAGTGCAGGAGGAAATGCACAGCCACAGGAGTTTGGTTTTGAAGCTCAGATGAGATGCAAACACTTCTTGGACAGGAAGACGGGAAAAGCAAAGCGAGCCTGGTGAGGGCTGCTGTCAAGAGCCATCGCAGAGGGGCATCTCGATGAGCAGGGCTGGTGCTGCAGGGCACTCCCCCGTGACCGGTGAGCCTGGGCTGCAGCTTGCCAGGCACGAGGGAGATGAGCTGCTTTGGCCTTCCTCCTGCTGGCAGTTGGCCACATGCAGCAAGCCGGCAGTAGGCACGGGTTGCTAACGGGCTTGGAAAGGTGGCCGTGAGTGCAGGGCTCCAGGGAGAGGCAGGCAAGGAGAGACACCTGCCTCTGTGTGGTGGCAATGGAAAGGGTCCCCCTCTTCCCAATAAAGAGAATCATAGAATCATAGAACCATCGAATGGTTTGGGTTGGAAAGGCCCTTAAAGATCATCTCGTTCCAACCGCCCTGCCATAGGCAGGGACACCCTCCACGAGACCAGGGCGCTCAACGGCCCA